ATTTCATTCTTATCCCAAGCAGTGATCTTCTACCCCCAAGCATGAAAGTAGCCTTTGTAATGCTACCTTAGTGAACGCAGCTGCAGAAAATTTCTCTGCCTACTACAGGGCTCTTTCGTCCAGGGTAGAAAGGCATAGCAGGATCCAATGGTTAGGAGCTGAAGCCAGATAAATTCAAATGAGGAATAAAGAGAAAAGATTCACATTTTAAACATTGAAGTTGATTAAGCATTAGTTCAAAGAACGTGATGGATTCTTCATATCCACCTGGCACTAAAACAAGCCCAGAAGCACTTTCCAGAAGATCTGCTTTAGCAGACACAGGTTGTTACACTCAGCATAGGGTTATTGGGCAAAATGTAAAGGCCTGAGATAAACAGGAGGTCAGCCGAGCTGTGCTGGTGGCCTTTTCCGGCTCACAGCTTTACAAATAGCAAACATGAAAATATGCGCTCTAAAGCAAGCTACTTAAAATGCATGCCTAACTCTAAGTATTCTGGCTCTCTTCACTGGGACTTGCCTGCTAAATCAAGACTCCTGTCCTGCAGGCTTGATCTGATCCAGCCCGAAGTCAGTGAGGATCTTCTCCCTGGCCACTTCAGATTGAGCTCTCAGACAGGAATAAGTTAGTTCAGCTCCCCAAAATCCGTTTCATGCTAAAACTACTCTGCTCTTCTATGAGCACTGTCTGCTGAAGGATCCCAAAGCATTTTGCAAACATTAATTCACTACTTAATTAAACTTAAAACACAATGATCCTGAGCAGATGAGCTCTGTGTCTTTCTTCAAGCACCATTTATCAAAGGAATCGGTTGCACTTGTCATGCTGATAACAGTGCCTAACTTTCCCGCTTACATTGTGTTTCTAAACCCAGTTTAAGTTGTTTTCCTTCAATATGAACAGTTTTTGGAACAGTTTTTGAAAGAAAAATGCAATCCAAGCACACTTATTTATTTTGTTGGTGGTGCTAGAAATTAGAGTACAAACGTTTTATCTGCATTACAAACACTATTACAAAGTGCTAGAGTGCTTTAATCTATCTTCTAGATTTTTTTTTTGTTATTATTCATGCTTGAAGTGCTTCATCTTAATGCTCACAGTAGTTACCATAGGCGCACACAGCAGCACCAGCCCCACTAGAGGCTTTTCTCTGTTTTGTTTTCTTTTTCCTGATGCTCTTATTACTTGGATGACATTAAAGTATAAACAAGCCAACAGATGTGCCCACAACCTGGTAGCTCTCTTGGTGAAAGGAAATAATTGCAGGAAGAGGGGTTTTGTGTGTTATTATTGGGACAGTGTCCTAAGTGCTACTAGATGGTGATATTATCAGAAAGTAGATTGGAAAGTGTTGCCTAAAATTACATGGGAGACAGCATATAGCTGCAGGGAAAGGCCTGATGGTGCTGGATTTATGTTTGGGTTGGCTTGACAAATCTTCCAGCCCCTATTCTGAAGCACAGATATGCCTGCCTCCCTCTGGCTGTTAGCAGCTAAAGGACAATGGATCTGAAGCTGCAGCACAGGGGACTTACTGGGACTTCATCTCCCTCCAAATGAACCATCTGCTTGGCAGCCAAGACAAGTCTAATACAGGAGACTTCTGACTTCCACTCTTCAGTCATTCCCACGGACAGAGGCAAAGCTGACAGATGTGGGATAACTGAATTTAAGGACAGTGGTTCTCTGTGAAGACAAAGATCCTGGGAGGGGACGTCCCATCTCCTTTGCTTGCTATTCCCTGAAACTCAGCAAGGGACCAGCCTGAGACCTGGAGCACAGTGACAGAGCTGCTGGAGGAGTGACCACCCCGGTCAGATGGCACACACGATGAAGCAGAGCTCTTCCTGTATTGCAGTTCAGGGCCAAAATGTCACCTGCTGTAAAGCAGCAGTTTCACTCAAGTTGCTGCAAATGAGGCACTTTAGAACAGGTGAAGGTCTGGCCCACAGCAACCACTTTTATTCCTCGATTGCTCAGAAGGGGCTCAATCGTTTGCTGGATCATTTGGAAGCTGGGTGAACAGAGAATCACAAATGCTCCTATCAAAACTCCCCAAGCCAGCTTCTTTTATCTGATTTCCCTCTCCTCCCCCTTTTATAAGAAAAATCTCATCAATCGAACTATTACACTGAAATGTTAGCATTTTAAGTGCATTTGCTATGTATGGACAGAGTCAGCACACACATCCAGCACATAAAAATTTGATAATTCCACATTTTGAAAAGAGATATCAAAAGGCATAATTTAATATGTTCTCATTGAAAAAAATCATGAACTGCTCATTCCCTGGTACCGTATATTCAACGATCTTAATTACTGAAGCTATTTACGTTCAGAAGATAGTTTTCGCAACTTGAAGGGTTAGAAAGAGGTGGTGGGTTGTTCTATTTTCTGTTGTGTTTTAATTTTCAGTGAAGGCCAAGTCTTCTGGTTCCCTGGAAAATGAGAACCTGATCCGCCATCCTCCAGGACCACCACTGAGCTTCAGATTGGACCCTGAACGTGGTGTTTGTCTTGATCATCTCCCAAACTGGAGAATGACTGAATTAAAATATTACACTGGAAAATGTCTGGCAGAACCAAATTTCTTGGGCAGTTGGGTTTGTGTGTGGTCGCTGGATCTCACAAGCTGGTGGTTTGCCTGTTCATGTTTTCTCACTTGCGTGCTGAGGAATGTGGCAGTTTGGGGAATTCCCCATACAGCTCAGATGGGGCTGCAGACATCAATCCAGTAGAAGCAGAATGATGAGGGCTCGTTTGGGACAGCAGGCCTTCACTTTTTGTGTATACATTAGGACAGATCAGAGCAGGGGGATATGACATTATTTCATAACCTGTATTTTAAGCTGACCTGCTCCATTACTGAGAAGTTGTGCTGTGGAAATGGACAGGAACGTGGTAATGTGTTCATATTAGAGTCTGGTGGACAATCACTTCCTAACAGGAGGGCACATAGGTCTAAGGGAATGTACTGAAATATATGCAAATTAATGTAGATACATGCAAATATGCAATCTACATTTTCCCCACCTTCTTTTGCAGAGGATATTAGTAGGCATGCAAAGATCTAAAATTATCCAATTGAGAACAATGCTGAGAGTGATAGGAGGTGCAGGCACCCCAAAGTTTGAATGAATGTACACTAAAGTTTCTCCTCTCACCCATCCCTAATAGATTAATCACTTTCTCCATCCTACTGCAGGAAAACCTAAAATCATAAACACCTAACTGGGCAAGGGGGCAGCGAAAACAGTGGCTTGCTGCTGAAATGGAAGGAGTTGGCAATCCTAATAGCAAAGCTCCTTCCACTTGCTTTTTTCCCTTGTAATTTGGAAATTCAGTGACAGAAGGATGATTTTCAAGATAACTCATCTCTGGATTGCTGAAACAGACACACAGAATTTGACATTTTGAACAAAACAATACTTCATCCAGACAAGTAATACAGCAACTATGTGATCACAGTGTGGGGTTTCTCTTCCTCCTATATGAGATATTTTTCCTCCCTGCTCTGAACAGCAAACCAAAATGTTCTGCACCCTCAGAATTAAGCAGTGGTGGATTGGGTAATACCTTCTGTGTAAGGAATAAAACATCACCACCTCATTAAAAAACAAACAAATAAACAAAAAAAACAAAACACAACACAAAACATCAACCAAAGCCAAGTATGTAGCTATCCATGGTGAGAAACACTTGTAGAGTTGGCGTTCAGGTCTAAAATGAGGTAGACCTCCATCCAAGCCTATACTGCAGGTGGGTCTGGCTGTTGGTGAGCCTCAAAACATTTCAGATTAACTATCTTGGATCTGTATCACACTTGTTTCACTACATGTAACAGGCTAAAAGAGAGAATGCCTGAACAGCTCTTAAGTCTAGATTTAGATTAAAAGATAACAGGCTCTCCACTGCCCTTTGCATTGGCTTAGAGAAGTTGAAGGTGCGTCTCCAGCCATTGCCTGAACCATCCAACCCTCCACAGCTGTCTGAGCACAGCTGGCAAACCCAAAAGCAAAGATCACAGAATCACAGAATTTCTAGGTTGGAAGAGACCTCAAGATCATCGAGTCCAACCTCTAACCTAACACTAACAGTCCCCACTAAACCATATCCCTAAGCTCTACATCTAAACGTCTTTTGAAGACTTCCAGGGATGGTGACTCCACCACCTCCCTGGGCAGCCTGTTCCAATGCCTCACAACCCTTTCAGTAATTCAAATAATTTCAGTAATTCAAGATATTCTTGAATATATTTTCTTTCCTTCATTAGTCACTGCAGCTACTGAAAGCTCCTGAAATCACACCCCGTTAGTGACCAGCTGTGCAGCTACAGGTAAAAAAATTTGATGGGGCAAGAACAGGGAAAAAAGGAATTAGTGACATGGGTCAGAGACCGAGGGTACACCTCCAAAGCCTCAGGGCTGGCTGAAGCCCAGGGAAGGCTCAGAGAGCCCTTTGAGCCTCCTCTTCCTCCCCCAGCCAGAGCAGCACCGCTTTGCAGAGCAGAGCCTAGAGGAGAGAATCCCTCTGGAGCAGCTGCCAGCAGCCCTCTCCCCAGCTTTGCTCTTTAGGTCCGGGAAGAGCCCAGGGAAAGGTGGCCACAGGGTGTCACTCGCACCCCATCACTGAGCCTCGGCGCTGCTCCCCGAGCCCCTCCAGCACAGCCCGGGGCAGGCTGAGGGCAGGGGTGGGCACCGCGCTCGTATTTACACTGCCGACAATTAAAAAAAAAACAAGCCTCGGTGCCGCCGGGCAGGAATCGCCACCCCTTTTTTTTTTTTGCAGCACTCTAATAGGGTGCTGCCAAATTTTTCGACCTGTATTCCTTCTTCTATCCACTGCAGTCAAAGAAAGTCTGCTGGAAAATGAATTGCCGTGGTGCAGACACCAGCAGGTCTGCAGGTGGGTGCATGTGGGAGCAGAAGGGAGAGGAGGATCAAATAAAGAGAGATTTGCAATAACCTGCGCTATTAACATTTGCGCCTTTCAAACCACCTTTCAGGCTTTGTTTCCAAACGTCTTTTAATAGGAAGGGGTTAGTACCAGCAAGACTTGTTTTTTGGTTTAGTTTTTTTTTTCTTCTCTCAGACACATGATTCTTCCTTTGGACTAATATCTCTGAACATTTGGGTTTAGGAACGATTCTTATTAAGGTCTATCTAGCACTCTAGCTGTCACAGGCATTTTCTGTATATACAAGCACATTGTCAAGTGTCTGAGATTTTCTAGCTTGAAAGCCTTACATTTGGAGCTGGCACCTTCTGGCACGTGAGCCAGGTGGCCTCCAGCAAGCTGATTCAGCACATGGCTTCTTCCCCTGCCTGCAGGACCTGGCCAGCCACAGAATTTGTGCCTTGCTGAGGCAACCACAATTTCAGATAGGTGTTGCTTCTTGACTTGGGAAAGAGAAAATGGGCAAGAAGCGCAGGCACTGAGTTTTCCCCTTCTCACTGCTTTTTCTGCGTGAGTTACATCTTGCCTGCCTCAGGCATAATCCCTCCTGCTGAGTCCATAATTTGCCCATTTGTGTCAATTTACAGGTTAAAAAGAAGGGTCCAAGTCCTGCTGCTGCTGGGTCTCCAGACAGCTGGGGTGGAACTTTCCACTTGGATGTTCACAGTGTTTGGGGATATGGGTAAAGGACATGCTTCCTTCTTGGCTTGCTGTCCTCCAAGGTTCATTGTAAGAGCACTTGGTCTCGTTATCTCATTCTCCCTTTGCTCCTGGGAGCTCTTTAAGTGTGAAGAGATGGTAGCTTGCCTTCTTTTCATTTAGAAAGCATCAGCATGGTCCTCTGAAAAGAAAAAATGAGGAGAGGAGCCTTATCCCTCCCTTCTAATACATGAGCTGGTTCATCATCAAATCTGTGTTTCTTATTTTCCTCCCTTAGTGTTATGCAAACCTCTGTTAAAAAAGAGACCTGCTATTTAATAGTAATAACTCTCCAGTAAAATGTATTGATGCAATCTTTGAACTAATCTTCTAGGTTTCTCTTCATATTTCATGAAAATTTACCAGAAACATGGTCCCTGCAAAACACTGAGAAAATGGCACAAATGTCCTTACTACACTGCCCTTCCTCCCAGCTGATGTAACACTGATTTATTGGTTACATCAGCATCTAGAGAACCAAATGAGGAAAGCCATCAAATGCATATTCCTTTTGCATAAATCTGTTTCCTACCACATTTCCTTAAGCTACTCTATAATTTGTATGCTTTTGCTGGGGGCAGAGGTGCCATTTAGTTTTGTACCATGTGTGTATCTGACAAAAGCAGCAGCACAGGAAACTTTTCTTTCTTGAGAGCAAAGGGTCCTGTCCTGGTGTGCCCCTTTGTGCCCCTTTCCTTTGCTTCTCTAGGTCCTCCTGACCCATCGGAGTAGGAGATCAGATCTGTTAAGAGCATATGGAGTCATTCCACATCACTAAGTTAGCCTGGAAATGGGAGCTGGCAGTGACTGTTATGTATTGCCACTCGACAGAGGGTTGGCTGCCTGTCAAATTTGTCTGTAGAGTCTCCCTGCACAGGCATGTGTGTCCCCATTGCAAAATTCAGCTTCCCAAATGACATCAACTGTGCCTTCTCTGCAGGAGCTGAATTAGCCCTAGAGACTCCCTCATCCATCAAAAGCTGTAGACAAGTCATGCTAGGAAACCAGCAGCACGAGGGAATTGTGTTTTCTGAGTCCCACTTGTTTCATGGATAGGTCAAGACCTCCAATCACCAGGGTCATCAATCTAATTAGAGAGCATATTTAATGAAACTCTGCGAATGTTCATTATTGGACAGAGCACTGCAAGGTGTGCAACAGGAGTACAACAGCACAGAGAGGCTAGCAGATGAGGCCAACATGATCAAATATCCTTACTGTGGGCACAGTTTCTGTGGTTGCCCCTGCAGTTTTCCAGCTATCATCAGTATTTTGGAGGCAACCAGTGTTTGAGAGTCTAATTGTGCCTGCAATTAGCACAGAAGATAGATGTGGGCTGCTAGAAGGCAACTCTCTTCAGCCAGTTTGTGAGATTAACAGAGGGGAAGGGCACTGAGACTTCAGATCCTAAAATACTTGGCGGTCTCAATTCTCAGCTGGCTTTGGCTCCAGTCCTTTCTAAGAAGCCAGCTTCTTCTTTAGCACAGATGTCTTTTAGGACTTCCTGCTCTTTCCTTTCATTGCAAGCTGAGTGACTCCAACTTCCAATTGTAGAGACCATCAATCCTGCAGTTCTGGAAGCGTCCACCAAGCCTTCCAGCCCAACCTGACTTGCCTTGAAGCATCCTATACTGCTCCAGCTTCCCAAAGATAACATCTCCCCTTGGTATTTCTAAACATGGTGCTGTCCCTTACTGAGCAAACAGCAAGAAAGCAAAACAGAAACAAGGGAAAATATGACACCCTCTGCTAATAAATGCAAAACGATGGAAAACAATTTTGCCAACTAGGCAACTCAAATTAGACTTCTATCTCAGAGGAATATGGTCGATTTGTAGCTCTTATTACAGTGTAATGCTATTTCCCTAAAAGTTTGTGTGTGCATTTTAATGAATTCATAAAACCCGGACTGTAAAAGCCCCATGGGGGAAACCTGGCAGCTCTTTAATTCAGCATTAAAGCTCAACTGATGTCAATTGAATTGATTTCTGTGCATAGAAATTGCATTCGTTGAATGAAAACTTTAGCCCTTGCCATTCCCCCTTTTAAAGCTCACTGTAATACAATTGGCTCCTTGAGTCAGGTTCAATTACATGTTGAAAGTTTATAATCTGGTGTGCTGAATGGAGGCTGTGAAATCAAGAGAGAAAACCTAGCTAACCTGATTAAACCTTATACCACAGCCATCCTGGGGCCAGTGAATCCTTATTGTAGCACAGGGGAACAGCTCCTCTCCGAGTATGCAACACATCCTGATTGCAGCCCAAGATTTTACTCTGGTAACAACCACAGTGACCTCAGTGTCTCTAATGGGAGTTCAGAGCTCTGACCTAATTTCAAAGTTTCCCTGTTTCCCTTTTTTAGCTTGGGGAGAGCTTTGAATCAAAATAGGATTTGTGAAGGGAAGGGAAAGATCCAGGGGGGTTGCCAGGTATGGATCATCTTTTTGTATTAGGCACACGTGTGTTAGGGTATGATCCCACAAAGGGCAATTTTCAGTCATGTTTCATGTGGGCTTGTAATCCTTTACTTTTGCTATTAGCCTAGGGAAACTCCAGTAATTTCCCAGTTTTTGACCCAGAGTCAAAGCCAGGAAATTTTTACTTGTTGGGAAGTTATAGTTGTTTCCACAAACTCCACCTCAGCCTGCAGTAGATGCTGCTAACTTCTGCAGATATTTCAGCAGATGTAATCTGCAACAGGTCCCATATTTTGGATTTTATTTTCAGAATTACTCCCAGTTCTCCCATGAACATAGTGGAAATCTGATGAAAGTGGCCTTCGTTCACATTGTTCTGTCAAGGGTCAGATTAACATGAGCCATTCTCTTCTTCTCCAATGTTGCTAGTACTTCTAATGCTCTTTCACTACTCCCAGAACCAAAAGCATATGACAAAACACTGCATGATCTTCTCACTATTAAAAAAACCAAGCAGGCTTTTTCTGTGTTTCCATTTTCAGTAGAGGATTTTTTTTATGCAATCCTTAGACAATGCCACTGTCACTCAGCACAGAGCTACCCTCCAAAATCTCCTTCAGTTTGTTTTGGTCATATGCAAAGAATTATTCCTAGTAATAACAGTGAGCATCAGGCTGGTGCATTACAGCCAGCAGCTGCAAGGTTTATTACAGCCACAGATCCTCACACACCCATCTGAGACAAGTGTTATAATCCTGCTTTATAGACGGAGAGAGTGAGCAATAGAGATGTTCAGTGACATGGGAGGAGTTGGCCAATTTTCTGACCACCAGCCCTGTGCTGTGGCCTCAGCTCAGTTCCTCCCTAAGGCAGGTGAGACATGCCTGAGCCCCCGACTTGAAAGATACGGATGTAACAGCTTTCCTTAATTTGATGCCTCAACCTGTAGTTTAAACCTGTGTCCCCACTGGAAGTCCCTTAGCCAGTCTGGGGCTGCCTGTGGTCACTGTAATAACACCAGCCCAGAGAAACCTTAATCCTTAAGTGAAGGATAACTGCAGGTCTCTGCTTTTATTTCATCTGCTGATCTAAGGGAAAAAGCTCATCCCCTTCACGGCTGCTGAAGGTAGGTCAAGGACAAGGCATTTCACTGTGTCTGGGTTAGAAAGAGCTTCTGGAGAGGTATTTGCTCTCTGTGGTGCACAAGCAAGGTGCTTGGTGTCTGAGCCAAATGATCAGGCAGTCACAGTACAGGATCACAACACCCACCACTGGGACCCTCCATCGGTACTGGGCTGGGATCTTTCCCCACCATCCACAAGATCACCTTCTAGTTCCAGTCCAATAAACTTTTTTCAAATCCCACCTTGGAAAAAATACCCCCAAGCCTGTCTTCAACAATGCCATAAGAACTGAGGTAATTGCAGAGTCACATCCACTTTTGTTTGAGCATTTCAGTGTATGCTATGCCTTTCACAGTGGGACAAAGACTGGCAAACACATGGAAGGTATTTAAGAAATGGTCAGAGATGATCATTAGTATAAATGATACAGGAGCAAAAGAACAAGCAACCAAGAAAACAGACTCCAGGGGCTTTGAAAAGCAACCAATAGTTTCGGGCACAGCATCAGAGACAGGACTAACATCCCAGAGGCCCAAGCAACCTCTCTGGAAACACAACAGACCAATACAACAGTAAACTGTTCTTGAAGTTCAGTTTCTATTTTCCTTTGCATATTTTCAGCTTCTTCAGTCTAGTGCCATGTCCCACAGACTCACCAAGCAGCCCTTAGTAGGATTTCACTTTCCCATTACTAGCTTTAGCATGCATGCTCTCTTACTGTCATGATTTACAGAGCCTGGTAGAGCATTGCAGGCCTGAATAAGTAAGGGGAATAGAAGGTGAGGACTATCAAGCATGCAAAGGGTTAATTGCTCCACAGCCAAATGCCTGATAATCAGTGTCCCCAAGTCCCTCCAGCCATCTTCTCCCAAAAGACACAGCTGTTCTGATAAGCTTTGGGTAGAGAGAAGCAGCAAAAGAAAAAAGAAAGGCTAATGTTCCACTTCAAAGTGAATCCTCATTTCCCTACCCAAATAGCAGGGAGAAAATGTCCTCAGTGTAGCTCATGTGCTTATCACTTTACAGCCACAACATGCTCCACTTTGTTGGGCTTGCCAAGCAACATGGCTGAGATGTAAATTGTTAAGAAGAAAGGAACAGCAGAAGGACTTCTCCCCCCTCCTCTTCTTTTTTTTTTTTTTTGCTGTATCATCAACTTTAGGCACCCAGCAAAAATAGCCGTGAAATATGGAAATGTCTTGTTCATAGCACAGTGATTTTTAAAGGCTTCTGCTGTGCAAATGCAGCTGAGATAGGCTTCTATAGTCTCGTCATCTCCCACTGTAACAGCGCTTCCTCGCTATTTCACTGAATAAGCAGATACAACGGGAAACTATTCACCAAACTAAAACAACATCAAAAGCCCATTAAAGTTCTGATTTAAACTCTCCAGAATGGATGGAAATTCACAGCAAAATAACAGGCAGCCAGGATCTGTCTGCAGCTAGCCATCACCCTTAACACTATCTAACTCTGCTAGCATATTGGATGCCTGGTTCTTAGCTGCAAGTTTCTAGACATTAGTAGGTTTAAACTGAACTCTTAATGGCCTTTTCAGAGCTGCTCCTTCTTAAACAACCTGAACCCTTCCCCAACTCTCTATTTTCTTTCCACAGCTGTTTAGCAGTGCACAGGCAGAGCAGGAGGCTAAGAGCATCCCACCACAAGAACAAAAGAATGATTTGCAGGGTCAAAATGGGCTCTCTGCAGGCAGCATCAGCGATGCCCTCTGCCTTGATTTTCCCTGCATGGGCCAGAGGTGAAACCCTACACTGCAACCCATTTACTGCCTGCTCTGTTACATTACCCCGGCTCTGGTAGGTGCTATTGCCAAACACTCACAACCTCCCCCCTTACCTTACCTTGCTGAGACTGTCCTGTAGAAGTCCAAAGCATCTCCTACAGCCTTCAGAGTAGATGAGAGACTAAAGGCACCATACTCATCTGCAGGCAAATTAATACCAGGGAAGTAAGGTGTGGCTATAAATTAATTAAACCTCATTAAGTCCTGAGTTGATGTGACCATTCATAACGCAAGTGGAAGTCACCTGTGAGAGTAAATAGGATGAAGACCCTCTCAGTGCTTAACGAGGAGATCTGTGTAAATGGGTTGTGCAGGTTCATCAGATTACTTCATGTTCACACCATGATTATCTTCAAGGAACTTCCTTGCTGGTGTAATCCTGCAGCTGTTTTCTCCACATCCTTACAGCTTTGCTGCTGCTCCGCCCATGGAACAAGCACCCCTGATGCACTGAGCCAGTGTGTTGAGCTAAACCAGCACAAAAATGATATTTATTTATTTATTTTGTCTTTTCTGGTAATTTGCTTTCCTCAATCAGTTCACTAGGTGTCTGTCCAAGGATAAGCAGGAGCAGGTGGGAAGGGCAGGCCCAGGGCAGGGTCAGCTGCCTTGGAGCAGCACCCTGTTGTGCCCAGGTGGTCTGTTAGACTGGCAGCAGGTTAGGGTTTTAAGCTGGCTTTTTGAAAACTGTTCCTGAGGTCCTAACTGTTTTTGTGGGTGTCTAGGTGCTTTACAGATTCTATCAATGATTCATTTAGCCAACTCAAACTAAAAATCAAGAAACTATATTACCAAAGCTAACTTGTTATTGATCACTGTAAACTACCAAATGCAGCTGTCAAGTCAAAATCAAATCAGTAAGGAAATTTCAGTATGAGACTGGAGCTGCATTGCTATATTAAGCAAATCATCAACTACACAGCAGAAATAACCTGTCCCTAGAAACTCCCCAAAGAATCTGAGAAACTGGTTGTCTGTACAGTATAGAAATGGGGAATTTGACTTCATGCCTCACTGTATCTGCTACTATTCCCTTGCTCTGCTAGGACTGAAAAAAGGCTTTGAATCTGAAACAAGGGCAGGTAACGAAGACCAAATAAGCTTTATTTCCATCTGGTATCCAAAGGCAGAAAGAAGCTGTAGTTTTGATTGCAGTAGGGGCACGGAAAAACTTGCATGACTTCAAGATCTCCCAGTTGGAATAAGAAACCAAAAGTCTCAGATGTAGTTAGCTGTGTCTCCATTCCTCTTGTGCATCTTCTGTACTACAGTTTGACATCTCTAAATATCCTTGCTGTCTGCAGAGACAGCAGGCTATTTTGTGCTTCATTCACTGTATGCTGTCAAAAAAAGAGAAATCCCTGCCCTGTGGGCTCTGTCCTAGAGGATTTTATTTTGCTGCTCTCAGTCTAAAGCAAAGCCCGTATCCATCTCCACTCTGCAGATTTCCTGCAGGGTCCAGCGCCTTCTCTTTTGCCTGTCACTGCTCGCCCTGCTGGCAGGGGATCCTGGCTGCCTCCATCCCCATCCCTCTGAGCACAGCCACAAAGAGAGAAGAGCCTCGTACACACTACATCCATCATCATTCATCCCAGCAGAAAATTTCGGAAGAGACATTAGTGTCACCACAGTCTCTGTCCTGTTGACCTGCCTCTGTATAGCATAGTAAGGCTGGGATGGGAAGGAGAAGGGGAAAGCTGTGCTCTGAGGACAGCTCGCCCCTTTTTCAATGGGTTTCCTGTGTGAAATCCAGTGCTGCATGCAGCGTGCATTAGTATTGTAAATCCTTATAAATGTCTGATAAAAGAATCAGCCTGTCAAATAAATGAAAGTCTCCATATGCTAGATACGGAAATGCAATCTGAAATCCTTTTAAAGAGAACCTGATAAATAGTGGGAATGCAGGGCATCAACAGAGATAGAGCTCAGATCCCTCTGCTGCCTTAATGTGATCTCCAGGAGAATCCTAATAAGAAAGGTCATTGGGCTCAAAGGCTACCAAGGTGTCCTTTCTCCAAGTGAGAGGGCAGTGGTAACACAGGCTTGCTGATCTTCTGGCTGGCTCTGTGGCAACATTAGAAGACCCCACCGTACAACTGCAGAATGGATTCTGCTAGCTATAATCAGTTTATCAGTAACTTTTATGCACCACAGACACCTTTGTAATGTGTCTCTGGCCATAACACTTGTGTCCGATCTTTGATGTGACCTTAGTAAGGTATGTAAACAAATGGAGAGAGCCCTGACAGGAGGACTGGAGCTGCACCTTTTCCAACTCGTGCCACATCTCCCATGCAATGTTTTGCACACCCTACAATAGAGGATAAAACGGGTTGCTTGCTATTAAGATGTTTGGCAGCTGGCAGCACAAAAGATGAGGTGTGATTTGCAGCTTGGTCCGTGTCCAACTCCTCTGAACTCTGCTGGATCGGCCACTTACTGTGACAAACATCCCCACGTCCTTCCCAGAAGATATCTCGGTCTGAGGGACGCAGTCAAAGCCCTGATTTGATCCCACGTGGCGAACAGTTGGGGCAGTTGTGCTGCTGGAACAGGACAGAAATCAGATGAGACCAGAAGGGGGGCCCAAATTAAAACTACACTTGGGCTGTGAGTGACGAAATGAAGCAAGATTTGGGGTGTTGTGGCTTAGATGAGACGCAAAGGATGCAAGAGGAAACTTTCACGATGAGAAACTTTCATTATCATCTTGTAGCAGTTGATTTCTTAAAATCTCTCTGTAGCACCAGAAGGAAGCCTGCTTCAATGCTCAAATATCTCCAGCTTTATCTAAATCAGTGTCTAGTGGACACAACTGCATCCAACTGGGCATTTTCAAATCATGCCTTTCACCTCCTTCTCAATGCCTTGTGTCTCTGCGATGTGATATTTTCTCTTTAGCAGAAGAGTTCCTCAGGCAGGCAGCTCAATGTGACATTTGGGGCCATGTTGCAGAACCTTCAAGTCCTCACAGGCTCTGAGGAGGACAAAAATGCCATTTTCTGGTAGATTTTGAAGCTGGGCCAGGTGCTCAGTCAGAGCAAATCCCAGAGATGTCAGAGTTCTCTACAGAGGAAATTAAAAAAATGTAATGTCCTTTCAGGTAATTCAAAACAGTTCACTTCTAACAAACAGAGATGTCATGCCTCAATTTGACTTGATTTTGTGTTGTATTTATAGCACATAATATAATGAAAAAAATAAATTGAAAGTCATTTCAAAATGAAAACCAAAAATGTTTCACTTCCGAAATGTTGAAACAGGGCATTTCAACCATTTCAAAATGATGCTTTCAATCTCTCCTTTTTTCCTTCCTGAGCCAAGAAATGCATTCAAAACATTGAAGAACTTTTTCAGTTTCTACAAATTGACATTTTCCAATGAAATTCACATATCTGTAAAGGTTGTTTTTTTTTTTTTTTTTTTCTTCTTTTTTTTTTTTTTCTTTTTTTCTTTAAATCCAAGGATCTTAAACATTAATTTGTTGTTAGGCCTCAGAGCGCTTCTGAGTGGTAGTTAAGTGTTATGATCCTCATTTTGCAGAAAGGGAATCTGACTCATAAAGAAACATAAAATGCAATTGAGTTCCAACTTACTTCAGTGGAAGAATTGATGTGCCCAAGGTCAGAGAGAAAGTCAATAGCAGAGCTGGGGAAACGAAAGAGGAATTTTGAAACCAGCACCTTTCCTGCAGCCACCAGACAGCCTTCCCTTTGCAGAGTGATCCAAACCCAAAGACAGTAATGACCACTCTAAACCCCATTCTCAAGCTGGAAGACAAAATGGAAATGGCTCCAAATCTGGGAATAAACTTAGATCTTCCTTCAAAAAGACATTTGAAGCCATGACTCAGCCTCATTCCATCCCTCACAGCCATCCAGCTGCTTGGGTCAGATCGCATTTGTTTTCTGTGTAGTAGGAATCTCCTATCAACTTCCACAGGAGGTGGACCAAGCCCTTTGAACTCTTGTGGTTTAACTTGTGGTTATTAGTTTCTACAGCACACGAGCCTTTCTTCTCTGCTCATGCCTCAGGAATAAAGAATAGAACAAAGCTGTCAGAAGGTAGTCACATTTTATTGCAATGCTGAATAACTCGTTTCTGGATTAACTTTGAAATTTATAGAGCTAAAATATAGAATGTACCTGGCATTGGAAAACAATATATTAGCGTGTGCAGCTGCTGCACACAGGGTTTTAAGATATCGTCTTGTCAGTCCCTACATGCTACTGTGCCTTGCGGGCATAGCAGTAAATCTCTTCCAACGCTGGATTTGTGCACTTTGTGCGTGGTGACACAAATCCACACAACCTGCCTATGCCCTCACCTCTCCCTCCATGCTGGAAACCATCCCACAGACCACCTAGCACTTGTTTCTCTGCCAGATGCCAACTGTGCTAGCTGCTTTCCCTGTCCAAAGGAGGGCTTGTGGATGCTAATTCCACGTCCTGCAGAGGCAGCAAAGGGAGGTGAGCATCTACAGAGAAAAAGACAGAAGAAGAGTTTTTCCTGCCCCCTCCTCTGTGTGATCCCATGCATTTCTGTGACTTTCATAGCCCTGCACCATTTCCTTTCCACCCAGTGCTGTGCAGACAGTGCTCAGGTGGCAGCTCAGCTCTCCTGCATTTACCTTTGCTCCAGCGCTTAAATTGGTCACGGGTTGCTGCAGCAAAGACACGTTTTATGTTCTCCCTCCCCCCACCCCCATCATTTGGATTCATATAATCAAGTGACTTGCAGCTGAAATTGCTCATAGAAAAATAATTTTAAATTGGTTCATTAATGCTCATTTACGCAGAATTCTTAAATATGATAAGAACATGAGAGCAAAAGAGAATGGATCTGAATGAGAGTAGGAGGATGTTGAAAGCAACTTTCCTGTAATTGTGAAGTCTTGTGTCTAAATATGTTTAGACAATGTGAAAAGTCAATTTAAGAAGCTAGGATACATACAACCACAGCAAGGGAGGAGATTTCTTAGAGAATGCAGATGTCCTGCAGCTTAAGCTTTTTGTTTCCTGGGGCGGTGCAGGGTTCTGATTTGGTACAAAACCCAAGTAACACCGTGACAAGCACTAGCAGCAGTCTGCAAATGGAGAAATGGGATGAGAACAGAGCACTTCATAAATAGGTTCATGATACACACTCCTGTCAGTGTCTGGCAACAGGAGAGGACAACAGAACATGGGGTCAGC